GACGCTAAATGCTGGCTCGCGGATCTGAACTTCAAGCAGCAGACCATCTACGACCCCAAGAACTGCAACGTGTATGGAGTTGGCTGGTTCCGCTCGCCAGTCGATTCTCTCAAGCGCCAATTTGCAAAAGCTCAGTCACACCAGCTCTTCTTCGATCCATTCATAGAAACGAACCGCGCCAATGTAAGAGTTTACAATCACACGATGGGCTGCGCTCTTATAGAAAAAGTGGTTCCTCTGATAAAGGAATTCATCATCAGTGGCGATGGCGGTGGATTCTGGATTGATAATTACAGCTTCGTCGGAGCGATTCAAGCTTACTCAGACAAATCGTGCCAGACTTTGAAAGTCGGATCTCACTCCTTCCTGCCTTTCCATATCTGCTCTCTGAACATGACTCAGACGATCCGACAGGAGCTCATCTCCAACGGCGACACTATCGTTGCGTACTTTCCAGTTGAATTCGTGCGGGCTGCAATTAATGTTGCCAACTCTACCGGCGATGACGAGGAATATTGGTGCCGCGAGGAAGAGGAACATACTTTTGTAATGCCAGAAAGAGTTTCAGTCCAAGAGCGGCGATTATCGAAGAGCCGTGTATTTCAGGCATCAATCAAGGAGGCCTTGCTTCCGCTTTGGGATGTATCGCGCACTGGAATAGTCGTAGCAGATGGAGAGGGAAATGTCCGAAAATGCCACCCTGTTCTAGCCTCATATGTTGCGGATATGCCCGAAGCATCGGACGTGGGGGGCACGGTGCACGGGCACTGCCCTCGGGGGTACACTGCGAAGCTCGATCTTGCCTCGGAAGAGCCTTGCATTCCACGTAATATATTGGACACTGTGCAGCGATTGAATAAGTTCGAAGTCGCTGAGCAGGCTTGTGATACGGCGAGAAAGAAGTCCCTACAAGAAAACATGAGACTGGTAGGCGTGACGACGGTTCGCCCTGCCCTTTTGAAGTGGCCGTTCATGGATCTAACCGAAGAACTGGCACTGCCGAAACTGCTGCGTTTTGAAACATTGCATAATTTTTTCCTGGGTTTATCGCGGACTCTTAAGGTCTGTGCGAGCGAAATGTTGAAAGATCCATTGCTAAGCACGACAGAGCTGCTGAATTCCAAAGGAGGTCCAAGAAAGCTCAAGTCGGCTAGAGTCGACGTATTGAAAAGATGTAACGCGTTTCTAAAGCGTATTCAGGCAGAATCGCCCTGCGTGGGGCTTAAGTTTGATTTCACGAAGTCCGGGACAAACGATGAGCTCTCTGGGTTCTTCACATCAACAGGGATAGTTGCCATGCTTGAGGCCAAAGACCTCGCCGGCATTGATCAAGTCATGCCATTCGTCTTTGCTCTGTTGGACAGGCTTTGTGGCACTATTAATAAGTCTCCTTTGACGACTGTTTGCGTCCTTTATCAAGAACTGGTGGCTACAGCTACCTCCCGCTTCTCGGAGCCTGGCTTCACCGCAGTTGAGCTCGACGCGCTCGCCGACCAGATCTCAAATTTCCAGGACAAAGCAATCGAGGTGTTTGGCAAGTACCAGGCAAGTGGTATGGCATTTCCGAAATTCCATGCTCTTCGACACCTTGTCTCAGACATCAAGATGTGTGGGAGCTTATCAAACTACAGCGCGGACTCGTACGAGGCAAGCCACAAACTGTTTAAGACAGCATATGACAAGACTTCGAAACGCAAAGACACCAGGCAGGAAGAGGCAATGCGGCGCTTGGTGCTTGCTCAAGGAGCTCAAGAGACCAGTGCGAGGTCGATGAGCACCCGGATGCTTCCGCTCAGGGAGGAAGTCATCGCCAAGCTAATGGGTAAGCGCAGAAGGACGGAATCACTCACAAAGATCAAACAGGAGATGGTGCGTGAGGACGCTGCAGGCTTGTCTGGTGGGGGCGACATAATGATGTGGGCACAGATTCATGCACATGCAGGTTCATGCGGCAGCCTTCTCCAGCACTCAGGCGAGCTAGGACCCAACATTGCGGTGCAAGAACTTTGCGAAGATGTCGGAGGTCCCGGACGTTTGCAGTGGTATGTTGATTCAATCCAAGAGCAGCACAGGCCACTGGCTGACTCTGTTGTGCGAAGACCCGCTACTGCATCTGTTGCTGGCCTCCCGTGCCCAACGTTAAAGGGCTGTGAGGCGCCTGAGAGCGGCGCTGGCGACTTTGAGATTTTAACTATGGACAATGGAGACAGAGAGATGCAGCGTGCCGTCTCGTCACACAGCTACTACGGCAGCAAAGTAGCGAGACAGGATAATGTCATGATTGAGGAGAGTGGCGACGATCCGCCGGGAGGCACAGGCGGAATTGTGCCTCGAAAGGTCTACATTGCGAAAGTACTGGCTTTTATCGCTATCAAAATCCCGCGACGGGGTCACCTCCTGGCTGAGGCATCTGTGAAGAGAGATGACATCGAGATTTGTTTCATTCGGTACTACGATCGTGTTCACGGGGACGAAATCGATGCCGTTGACCGCGCCTTGAACTGCGTGAAACTTCGTTGGGCTGTGAGGGGAGAAGATGAAACTGTTTCTCCAGGAGCACCTGCGTGCGAAGCTGAAACGTCTACGGAAATGACAGATCTCGCTTACATTGATGTGCAATATGTCGGCTCAATCCGCGGCTTGCTTCACGTCGTTCGTTGCGATGATGAGTTGAGAGGCACGAGGTCGCAACCATCCCTCATCCGCAGTGGATGGGAGACGCATCGATTCTACATCAACCGATTTAAGCAGCCAATGCGTAAGATGAGGTACTCCACTGCAGACCAGCATGATCACAGACCTCACGACCCGTAATGCTCCTTCTACTTAATCGCAGCCTTAGCACTGCAATCGGAACCGCTGGGACAACTCTGAGAATACGGACCGCTCGTCAAAATCTTGAAAAGACACTGACTGAGTCAATCGAGACAAAGAGCGTCCCACAATGTCGATCGTGATAAAGTGTTTTCATGCCTCCCCGCTCAAGAGAGCTGATGTAATCAGGATGCACGATTCTTCAGAAAGCAAAATGCCTGGCAGTTGCAAAAATCATACACACATGCACCTGCGTACACGTGAGCTGCCATAAACATTTGCCCAACTGTCCTCAAGCTGCACACACAATCCCATTCCCGATAGCATTGCCCTTCTCGCTGTGACGTTCTACGCAATAACAAATGTACCACTTGTAGAAGCTCGGTCAACATCGCTCCGCGGCACATCCACAGAAGCCTCAACAAACCATTCCCGATGCCCGCATCGCCTCCCTCCTTCTTTGGTCTTACTCAGCGCCAGCAAACCATGGCCCCCACGCACCCCTCCTCTCTCTCCCCTTCCTGAAACGCACCATGTCTGGTCTCCCCAATCGCAGCGACAAACCCCGAAACCCCCCCGCTCCACACTCATCCTACTGTTGCTTGGTACAGTACTATCACTCGTGCCAGATGCGAAATGCTACCAGTATACACACGCCCTCAATTCCTCTAGATCAGCGCCGCATGTATTTCTCCCGTCTTTCTCGACCCACACGTCGCGCCTGGACGCCACCCGATAGACTCGCAGGAAAAATTGGAAGGCTGAAAAAGTTGTTGTCTCTATCCCGCATGTGAACCGGGCGAACTTGGATCGCATTCACCCAGCGCCGTCGCGCAGCTCTTTGTAGGCTTGTCTCGCCTTCCTCTGACGTGCCGACGCGCTCGTCGCGTGCGGCAATGGTCGTCGACTACAGAAGGGCTTCAAATAAAACGTTCAACTTTACTAGCGTAAATTTGACTATAATGTTTCGCAATTAAACTATCGCTACATAATTCTGTAACGGTCATGAGCAATTTACTCCAGCAAAAATTTACTGCCGGCGTAAAGCTTGAGTTAGTGCCTCAGGCAGGCGCAATTTTCTGCGGTGGAGTAGTCTGGCGAGGACGAGTACGTACGCAGCTTCGCCAATCCTCCTGAGGTCTGAACCTCAGGTCCGTCGGCGCACCACTGTTTCGGCCTGCCTGATGACTGTGGGCCGCCGGTGGGGGAGGCTGAATGAGGAACCGGAGTCACCGGTCCGGAGAAGCAAGCGATTGCGGCGTGGCCTCGCTTCCGAGACAAGAACCGTGGCTGATTGCGGACTTCCCTCAGTGGCTCGTAAAAGGAAAAGAGCCAACCGCGGAAGCCACGGAATCTCAAGCCATGAGCCCGAGAGCAGGGAGGGAGATGGTAGCGCTCTCGACTTGAGCGCGGCGATCCCGACGCGACTAGACAGTGAAATCGGGCCTCTGGCCACCAACGTGGCACTACACTTGGATTCTACGGTCCCCAAACTCAGTCGCGCTACAGATGTCCTTCCCCCGGACCGAAGTTCTTCGCCCCCCGCTGTTGTCGCCGGAGCGTCGACTGGCGACACGGCCGCGGGTGCCGACGCAGCTGTACTGCAGCGGCAGATCGCATCACTGCTCAACCGTGAGAGAGCGAGGGCTGATGAGCAACACATTTATATGCAGACAATGCAAGAAGTGAAAAAGCTACAAGGTGAGAAGATCAATTCGTTAATGATCGAGGTTGCTCGTCTGAATGCGCAGGTGATGGAGCTCTCGCATGCCAAGGCTGCGTTGGAGGTCCTGGTTGCAGGTTCGTCTCGTGGAGGACGCCAGGCTGCCGCCGCTGCCGAGCGCGCAGTCATTGCGACCAAGAAGAAGCGTCAAAAGGACGAGGCATTCCTTGACACGATCACCCCGCTTCAACGCGACCTTGTCGTGGTGATGAAATATGCCTCTGATGACATCGCGCGTCGTTGCATGCGCAATCTTACTCCGATGGAGCAGTCGCCAGGAATTGCAGACTATCGGTGGGTTCCCTCGCCTCTGAAGATCGCTGAAGGCGATGGGATCGGACCGCTGGGAGGCGGCACTCGAGCGGCGGTACCACCACTCGATGTGGCGAAGCTAGGCATTACAAACGGCGCACTTCTACCGCCGCAATTGTCTCCTACCATTCTGGCTCGCACTGCATACAAGATGGCTCTCGAAAGCGGATCGCTTACCAGTGCTCTGAGAGCAGCATCCAAGGAGGAGATTTCGGGCGCATGCATCTTCAATGGCATCCAAGGGGCATCTAAGCTCTCTGCGGAGGTGGCTGACAAGGCGTCATCATATATGTCCAGCCTCAAGCGAACGGTTTGGACCAGGGTGGCCAAGGTGTGGGACGTCAGTTGTATTCCGGTTCAAAACAAGCTGAAGAGTGCCTCAGTCGACTACATCATTCATGCTCTGAACAATGCTGCTGGCGAAGACGTGAAAATGATGGGAATTGCGTTTGCAGATGACGACAGCGGCGGGATCGACAAAATTATGCGAGCATGTATTGACTGTATTACCTCTGGTAGCCTAGACCACTGGCGTACAGTGGTGCCGCCTGGGCATTCAGAGAGCGATAATATTGGAGAGAGTGGCGTTGACATCTTGTTCGTTTTTGACACCGCTCGGGATATTTACAAGGAGTGGGCTGGACTACGATTGGGAAAAGAGCGCCTCAGGGCTGGCGTAGCATCAATTTTGACGCTCGCCCGCCTCGATGCCTGGATCGCGACGCGCTGCGTAATGCAGGTGGCACTGGCGAGGACAGCGCTGGGCATTGCGACAAAATTATCCGACGATGGTGCAGAGGAGAGCGATATACACTCTGCGTTGCTGAAGGTTCTGAGCAAAGGTGGAGTTTCGCACGCCATGTTCACTGACGTGCTTTCACATTTGTTACCGAAAGCAACGCTGGGTATTCACGAAACGTTGCGCGAAATAGTTGAGAGGGTTGCTCCAGAAGAGCTGGAGAAGACTCTGATCTCTGATGCCAGCGGGGAGACTTTTGAGCATGCAAACGATACGAGGGAGATAACCTTTTCGTACGTCTGCCCGTATTCGATAAAGGAGGGCAAGGACTGCGACCGCGTCGTTCTCAGACCTTCAGCATTCAAGAAATATGTCTGCGAGTGGATCGGAGATGTGTGCGATGGCTTGGTGGGCGTTAGCGAGCTCACGTCTTCCCAGTTTGATCCGATAAGTTTCGACGGCGAGGGGTAGTACTCAAACCTGAAGGCTTGTAATAGAACGTAAATACTAGTGCCATACCAAAAAAAGTTCGAATAGTACACAACAATGAATTCCCGGTGATCCGTCTGTCTGTGCCTCCCCCGAACAACCAAGCATTTCTTGCGCTAGCATGTTCAACGTAAATTGCGCCGCGCCCCACTCTAAGCACGACCAGCAGACGGGGGCAGTGACGGTGTCTTCTCATACCTTAGACGACGTCGAAGCCGCACAGCATGACCTGGACGAAGCAGATGAGCATGGTGCCCAGCTTGCCCACATCGCGAATCGTAAAAAAAATCGCCACCGAACCTCAAAGCATTGTTGAAGGTCGCTCTCTGTGCGTGGGAATGCTAGCGGCTACAGGCACGATTGTGCAACAGTGCAGGCGGATGATTTCAAAAAATCCAGCATGTCATAATTGTTTGTAACATATATCGAAAAAGAGGTTGACGTTTTCGGTTGGCAGGTAGTCGGGGTCGGACACCTCTTTCCTTTCCCACACCCGAGCCCGCCACTGCTCATATATCACCATGCTCGACGCTCCGATGTTCCCTAATGCCGACACGCCTTCCATTGCCACAGCTACTCAGCACACACAAGTATCAACGTACTCCCAAGAATGATCGATTCGACCCTTTTCTGGCAGCTCATCGTCGTACAGCCATAGAACTTGACTACGTTGACCAAAGAAGAAGCACGATGAAAACGTTCAGTTCCGTGAACGAATGAAATACTACGTTAAGATGATCAAACGTGGCACGAGCTACAGAGAAGATCTTCTTATCAAACTTCACAGCAGTCGGAAGGAAATGGTCAAGCCAATGGTCAAGCCAACTTCAGGAGGTTCTTGAGTTCAATTTCATTGGGGAAGTCGACGGGAGGTGTTCCAACACTGCGGTTAAGCCGAGAGATAAGTACGTATCAAAAAGTAGATGGAGAGAGGGATCGAACTGAGGACCTACGTGCGATTGGGGATCACGGTCATATCGCCGCGATGGTGAGCCTCGGCACACCACTGGAGAAGGGGGCAGACGGGGTCGACATGAATGCAGTCCGTGCTGCATAGTTGTACGAAAACGCGATCGACAAGAATGACGTCAGCGCGATGGTCGCTCTCGGCTTGCTGTTGTAGAAGAGCGCAGAGCGGGTCGATAGGAACGCGGCTTGCGCCGTGTACTTGTACGAACGTGCGATCGAAGTAGACCTGTGTGTCGACGCGATATACAAGCTTGGCAACGTAATGAGGGATGGGAACGACGGAGTTGGGAAGGATGGAGCGCGGGCTGTCAAACTATAGAGGAGGGCGATTGAGGAACAAGATCATGTCCATTCTATATTCAATTTCGGCACGCTGCTGGCATATGATGTGGAGGGATTCGAGGGAAACACGGCATAGACAAGTTTGAGCGTGCGATCGAGAAGGGTAATGATGTCGCTTCGATGGTCAATCTCGGTCTCTTCCTTCACAAGGGCACTGAAGGAGTCGAGACGAACGCGGTTAACGCTGTACGAATGGGAGATGGTGCATCTCGGCCTCCTACTGCAGGACGGCTCGGGGGGTTCGTGAAGAACGGGGTTCGGGCCTCAGAGCTGTACGAGCTTGCGATTGACAGGAGGGACGACGTGCATGCATTGGACAATCTTGGTCTGCTGCTACACCACGGCACGGAAGGAGTGGAAATGGACGAGGTCCGCGCCCTGGAGCTGTACGAGCGTGCGCTGGATCGGGAGGTACTTGCGGAGGGAGAACGCGTCGGCGAAGAGCAGGGACGGGATGGAGGGCGAGCTGGACGAGAGGCAGCTGTACGAAGGGCTCATGGAGGGCGGAAGGGTCGGCGGAGACAAGAGGTCGACGGCGTTGCGCGCCACCAACTCGGCGTGCGTCTTGATGACCACGTGAGGGATGAGCGCGCAATCTGGCGGTGCAGATCGGCTGTCCTATCAGCTCCCCCTGCACTTTGTGCACGAGCCAGCCTCTTCTCCGCGATCAACTTTGCCGGCGCGACGGCAGCGGCGCGCGTGTGGGGCAGGCGCACCACGGGCGTGTGGCACGTCTGCGCGGACGACTGAGTCGTGGGCGCAGCTGTCGCCGTGCGGGTGGAGACGCTTCTGCAGCGCGAGCTGACGTCCGGAAGTGGTGGAAAGCGGAACAGGAGGTTACGAAGAGGGGGGAGGCTGGGCTGCAGGAGTTGCAGCGCCCCCTGTTGGCAGAGGAGCGTCGGATATTAAATGCTGGGGCGGGCAATGCCTCGACTGCAGCCACGTGTAAAATTGCGCAGGGGAGGAATTTTATTGAATTGCAAGGGTGGGCGGTGGGCCGATACAGAAAAGTTCATTTATTTCTCTAACATTATAATCTGTCTTTATTTTCACTAGTCAAGGGGGGGCCGATACTGTAGCACGAAATCGTCGGATATAAATTGGTTGGAAATTTTCTTCTGGCACCGCCAGAAAGGTCGGTAGTCGTGCGCACGCAAAGGCGGGGCGATGGAGAAGGGGTTTCAGCAGGGGTGGTGTGCTTCGGTACCACTCCCCTGCTACCCTTTCTTTTGGTCGCGAGTTCAATTCTGCATGAATACTGATAATAAATAAATAATTTGTTGAATTTTAAATAATGTTTAGATTAATACATAATTTGTAGATTTACACAATTTTAATTTTTGGCAGTGTCCGCTGCCAAATCTCATGAAGATTCGAACGTTGAGACGTTCTTCGGGCAGTACACGGCCAAAACTAAAACTAAAACGTGTGATTGAACTCGGCTTGTGCTTCTGGGGGACCTCTTGGCTCGACTATTGGAAGCGCAGGAACGCCGTGCTCAACGTCAAGTGGGGGTTGGACAAGTTCTACGAGGACAACGAAAACGGCATTCGCGCCGATTTCGAAGGCGATGATAGGCAAGGTTTTTATTGCCGCGGCGGGTTTGTCAACCTGGAGGATCTTGGTCCGGAAAGGGCGGCTGCGGACGATTTCGAACGCGCCAGAGAGCCGGGGCTGCGATCGAGGATCCGCGGGCAGCTGCTGCGAGTGACGGGCGCGCATGCCGCGTTCGAGCCGAGTGGCGAGGACGTCATTCGGATTGGCGGCGGGAATGACCCAGACTTTGTGCTGGACGCCCCGATTACGGGCTTGACCTTTTCGTCGTTGCCGGTCTTTCCGTATGCCAGTAAGCGCGACGTCCAGCGACGCGTTTACATCAGCTCGTTGGTCACCCTGTTTTTCGCATCATGTGTGGGCGCGTGCTCGTTTCTGAACCTCTTCTTCAAAAAATCCATTACCGGCCTTTTCGGCTCGCATGCGTTTGCCAAGTTTGCCCCAGGTATGGCACAGGCGGTGATAATTTCAGTTGCAGACCCTCTTTGGAAGCGTGCTACGCTCAAGCTGTCAAAGTGGGAGAATCATCGTACGACTCAGGCGTCTGAGAACAGCATCATTACCAAGCGATTTGCCTTTCAGTTTGTGTCCAGTAAGTTTGATGCGTCTTTGCAAGCACATCCAATCCGATTTTGAAAGTTGAACAGACCTTGCTGACCACTGCGACAGACTACATTACATTGTTTTATATCGCGTTTGTCAAGCCATTCACGCCATCAGACCCTTGCCTTTTGGATGCATCTGGAGCTCCGGACTGCATGGTTGAGCTTGGGACGCTGCTCACTTCATTGCTCATCACAAAGGCGACGGTGCAGCAGTTCATGGAAGTAGGGATGCCATTTATCAAACTGCGCGTCACTCAGTGGCTGAAAAGGAGAGAGCATCGCGAGCTAGTTGAAGAAATGGACACGACCCAGCGCATACAACTGCTCGCGGCAGGCGCTACGATTGACGATGCAGACACGCAAGATCTCGTAGAAGAGTTAAGAATGCCTCCGTATCGGTCGACGGTTGAAGACTATGGAGAAGTTGTAATTCAACATGGTTTTCTAGTGATGTTTGGCCTCGCGTTTCCGCTCGCAGCACTGATTAACTTTCTCAACAATATGGCGGAATGCCGCACGGACACATACAAAATGCTCGCCGTACACCAGCGACCGGATGCTGATGATGCAGCGGACATAGGAGGATGGTTCCCCTTCCTGAAATTTTTGTCCACTGCATCTATCGTGACCACGGCTGCTCTCGTTACTATTACGACGCCAGCAATTCAACTGGCTCTCCCGGATTTTATCGGTAACGTTGGTGAGCGGTATCCAGCGGTCTCTTTCTTGATTTTCGAACATGTCCTGTTGTTAACGCGATGGGTAGTGGACTTTCTGGTATCTGACAAGCCATCGTCGACCTACCGAAGGCTTGCTCGACAAGAGTTTCTCATCGCCAAATGCTTCAATGTTGGTATGCAACCTTACTTTGAATCATCCGCTCACGGTATTAAAGAGGCATGACGTCCTATCGGCAGATAAGATCAACTATGTTCTCGGAGCATCTGCGCAAACGCTGCGCCTTGGCCGTGAGCCAAGATTACGTACACATTAGGCTCAAAAACTATTAGACAGAGCACCGTCGTAAATTCCTGCAGGCAAGCATTCGTGCTGGCTGAATGTTTTTCTGTATACAACATCCATATATCGTCGACAAGCGAGAGCCGAATGGTTTTTGGCCCTTTTGGGACGACATTGCTCTCTCCCCGAACTTTTTCTCGCGTAAATTTAGCATCCCAGACAGCCCCATGCTGGATCAAATTGATTTGCTGAAGAGCGGCGCAACCGAAAAGGTTGCCAACTTGACGGCAGTGTATCAGTCCTTTGCGATTGTCATGTCGCAAACATCCTCATATCATGCCGTGCTTTTTCAGTGGTTGGATGCAAAGGGGCTGCAGGGGAGGCCAAACAGAACTTTGCGTCTCAGATGTTCCACCGCCAGCCTATAAGACCAAAATATTTTCAACGCCGTGGAAAAAATAGGGTTGTGATGGCGCTTCAAAGGCGTGAGGATTTCTGTTATTGATGAACTATATCAAAGAGTTTTGGTGAGTGTGACTTGTTGTATTCTCGCTGTTGCACGATAACACCAGATGTCTTGTTTCGAAAACTTCTCATAAACCGACGACGTTTTGCAAGATCTCCGGCTATTTGTCAGATCTTGCTAGTTTGAGATAGCTCCCATCAGCTTCATCATTTTATGACACATTCAAGTTTTCTATTCTTCTTGGAACTATTCTTGATTATTCCGGCAACTCATCACATTAAGAAATCATTGATTGCTTTTCATTCTGTCCATGGTCATCCCTCTTCTAGTCATTTGTATATGGACATGTTACATGAGAAAGACTGCTTCGACTTCTGCCTGCTGTGACGAGCTGGCCTGTTCTCAAGCAATACCACATATGCAACAGAGTCGAAAGCAAAATAGCCTCACTCATTCTGTCTTGTTCAGATAATCGCGCATCACCAAATCATACTCGATAAGCACAAGTGTGCACCAGCTTTAACGCGAACCAAGGGCTGACGAAAAGAGCGTTCAAAATGAATGGTGTTTCTCTATCCCCGCAACGCGGACAGCGAATATAGATAAGACTCTAAATGGAGTGTCCTGACCCTTGAGCCACATGGTTGCTTCCAGTTTATGTAAACTCCACATTTGTGTGAACGTAGCCCATGAACACCCATGCCTGCATGAGCTCGCATTGAACATATCTGAATTGGTTTGGCCATCATGACCCCATGCAGACATAGACTGTTGCATGGACGGTTCTATGGAACATGTTTGGCAAAACTAAAACTTGGATTGAATCCGCCATGCGGAGCCCATGAACACCCATGCACACCAATGCCTGCATGAGCTTGCATTGAACATATCTGAATTGGTTTGGCCACCATTGCCCCATGCAGACATAGACTGGTGCATGGACGGTTCCATGGAACATGTTTGGTATTGCATAGGACCAGGCCTAAGCAAATCCCCATGGAAAAGTTATGATAACCGCTCCAATTGTGAGCATGGGCTTGCATGGTCTCTGCATAGGAAATTTTAGAAAATCAGAAATACAGACGTATGGCATAGAAATTATGTTGTAGTTCTATGCCATCCTTTTAAAGAATGGAGGAGCCAGTCCATTCGGGAAGGACGCGCGCAGTATGTTTATACAAAGTAAAATTACAAAGACATACATACTGTGCTTGTCCTTCAACCGTTACATGCAGTGGGATCATTGGGATTCATGTTGTGGCAAAGGTACTGGAAGCGACTTGATCCTGAATTTGGATTTGGGCAATGGTGATGGGTGTAATGATATTAAATTTGGATGTTAGAGAGAGGGTTCAAAACTTGGTTTCAGAAACAAAAGGTTTTTGTCGGAGTGTCAGTATTCTAGCTTTACAGAACATGATTCCTTCATACCGGTCAAATCAAATAAAATGAATTATTCAGATATTACAAACGTGAACGACTATTATAGCTGTACAGCTCATGATCCATTCACACTAATTGAAGAAATTACTTTCAGTTTTTGCAAACGTGTACCAGTATTATAGGTCGGCACGATGATTACAGTATGCTATTTATTAAATTCATTCAGTTAATATATACGCCACAAAAAAGACAATTAATGCTGATACAGCTGAAAGTATCAACTCGCAAATATCGCTTATTGCTATCATTCACAAGTGAAAGCTAAACTAAAACAAATTTCCAAAACAAGACGAAGAATACTGTAGTGTTGCGGCTAGTCCAAGCCGCATACCTCACCGATCGCGGACGCAGCAGGATCTGAAAGTAGTCCTCGAGTTTACCTCCAGCTCGCCTGTAGCTTCCTCGATACCTTTCCTACATGCGCGTCACGTCTATCTTATACTACCGATACCCGCCGCCCTTGGCGGCCGTTCCGTCCCCCAAGTCCCGTGCCGGCACCAGCTGCCACCCCCCGAGACTCGGGCCGTTGCCTCAGCCCCTCCGTCGCGATCTCCTGGTCTTCTTAAGTCTCCTGTTCTCTCCGATCCCGCCGTTCTCCTTGGCACACCGCCGAGCCCAACGTTATGCCCACGTCCAACGTCTTGTCCGCGCTTCCGCCCGACACCTCCCTTGGTTCGGGCGGCTCCTCTCAGCGCCTTGTGTCAGCCTCCAGCCCAACGACACCACAGGGTCCAAACGTTCTCGTCCTCCCGCAACGTCCTCGTTTCCCCGCAACGTCCTCGCTTCCCGGCAACGTCCTCGCCTCCCCTAGATTCCCTCACCCGACAGTGTCGACATGTGCCACGCATTGAACGCCAGCCCATAGGCTGCAGCTCTCACGTGTACCACGTGTCGCGTAGAAATCAAATTTGAATCCGCAACACCCGTCCCTTTTCCTATGTCCCTGTGCGTCAGTTCGCGGAGCAGGACTATGGCGGGAGCGTATCCTCTCGGCTATGCTCTGAACCTGGTACAGCAGTCCTCCCCAGCCCCTGTCTGGCAGCGTCGGTGCCTTCGCTTCGATCCTCGCGGCCTACGTCGCCCTGCCGGTCATCATACAACTTCACAATTACCTCCGGGAGTGCGGCTTCCGGCGTCCATCTCGGGGACGCGCGCCCGCGGAGCTGCACTCTGAACCACCTCTCGGACCCTCCCGTCTTGGGGCACGGCCTATCTTTTACGGCAGTGATCTTATCCAATAGCCTCAGCCCGTCCGGAAAGACACCTTCTTTCGGATCCGCAGTCTGGACGGCCTCCTGTGAGATGCGTCTGATGCGGTTTGGGTGCACTCGCGCGCTTATTCCTCCGACTTCTGAACGTAGACAGCAGCTCACCTTCGACAGTTTTCGTTCCACCACGTAGGGTCCAAGCCAGGAGGTAACTATCTTGTTTCCCTCCTTGCTGACGAGGTCAGGGGCCCACACCATGACGCGATCCCCTGGCTTCAGGCCTAAATTCCTCACCACGCGGTCGTACTGAGCAGCCGCGTTCCTGCGCGCTTTCATACCTTGCGCCAGAAGCCTGGAGTGGAGCTCCTTGAGGTGCCTAGCGGTGCTGTAGGGCTCCCCCATTACCCGGTCGGCCTCCACTTCTCCCCACGCTACAAACGCCTCTATCCCAAACATCGCCTCAAACGGTGATAACTGAGTCGCCTCGTGTACTCCGGTGTTATATCTCAGGCAAGCCAGGGAGAAGTGGAGGTCCCAGTCGTCTTGTCCGGTGCACACAAAGCAGGCTATATCTTGCGCGAGCGTCCTATTCCATCGTTCCACACACCCGTTCGCCTGTGGGTGAAACGGGGAAGTCGTTACCCGCTTTGTGCCCAGCTGCTCGGCCATGTTCGACACTACCTTCCCGATAAAGTTGGGGCCTCTGTCACTCAGAAGTGTCTCCATGGCGCCAAAGATTGCCACCCACTCATCAAGGATCTTTCTCGCCACAGTTTCCGCCTTCTCATCTGGGATAGGCGCCGCGCGGGCAAACCGCGTGAAGGTGTCAATCATCACGAGGACCTTGATATTGCCAGCCTGAGTCCTTGGTGTTATTGTTTGGACATGGACTGCCACCTGCTGAAACCGGCGGCTGGGGTGGTACACCACCATTGACGCACCTCGCCTTGGTCTCCCCGCTTTTACCGCAGTGCACGCAACGCACCGAGCGATTCTCGTCCTGATGTCTCTTCTCCATGACGGCCACCAGTAGCGCCCTCTCACTCGTGCTTCAGTCCGCCTGAGTCCGTAGTGGCCATTAACGCGGGACCCGTGTACGAACTGCAGCACCGATCACACCAATCGGGGCGGCACCACCAAACAGCAGCCACCACCGGGGCCGGCTGGCCGGAAACCGAGCAGGCCCTTGTCAGTCACTTCGAACCTTCTAGCCCCACCAGCCCCCACCCACTCAGTAGGGTCACCGAAAGCTTCCCATTGGGCTGTCCTGAACTCTTCGCAGGAAGGTCAAATCAGCCTATCTGAGGCAATAAAAAATTTGCGCAAATATTTTGGTCCGGGCCAGCAAAAAATGTGTCATAAATGTAGCAACGCTTGCTGATTTCATGTCGCGATTTTGCACATGTTTTACCAATGACGCCATTGGCTAGACAGCAGCATAGTTATGGCACAGCGGCTCTACCTGGCCCGTGGCGGTAGATGGTGGGCTGGAGCTGCACACGGAGTAGGTCTTGCAGGGCCAAACTTTGTTACATTGAGGTAATGATGAGACGATGATCACCGCTGCACCTGCGCAGTCACCGACGACTATGTTTTGCTGCTCCAGGGCAATGACAACATGTGTCCATTCGCAGCCCCAATGCAGCACTAGACGTAATGCCGCGACTTACTCTCAGTCAATGAAATGTTAGTCCAGTGCCTTTCTTGCAAAGGTGATGTCACCGCGCTGGTCCAGAAACGGTCCCATCCCGAAGGATGAAACCGATAGAAGTTCTAGCGGCGTTCACATCACATTTATTTGTAGCAACCAAAGAGTATTGTTACGG